GTACCGGGGATCAAACTTGGGACCTTGCACTTTCGAGGCAGGCCACGGAACCACTGAGCTAAATCCCCGGCCCCCCTCTTTGTGGTTTTGCAGTTGAGGTGAGGGGGAACTGTTTTTGATTCTGGGAAGCGAGGCTGGCGATGGGGAAGTCAGTACACAGTGTGTTCTCTCATCACAGGTTGCCCTCCACAGCAGTGTGGTGGGCTATAATGCATGTAAGCAACTTTTACTTGTTACCTGGATTGTTTTCCTATTTTGAGACAGGTTCTTTTGTGTAGTGCAGGTTGGGCTCGAACTCCCTGTAGCGTCCATGTTGGCCTTGGGTTCACCATCCTCCTGCCTTAGCCTCCTGAGTGCTAGATTACAAATGTGCACCACCATGTCTGGGCCATTTACTCTTGTCAGAGTCAGATCTCATAACTTGGGTGAGGTAGATTTTTGTGTCCTCTCTGCAGAGCTGGTCTGTCCTGCAGCAGTGTCCAGGTATGCTGATGCCCCTGTCTTCTCCGGGCTCTCTGTAACTCCTCTTTCTCTCACTGCTACACACCAGGGGCAGGAATGCTGCCCACATCCCCCTTTCCCTGCTCTGTTTGTTCACCCTGCAGGGCCGTCGTTAGAAGGCAGCTTCTGTCTGAACTGGGTACCAAGTGGGTTTAGTGCTCATGCAGCAGAAAGGTACTGCCTGGCTCCTGAAGCTGGTTGGCACCCTCCTTCTTCCCAGGGTTTGGATGAATGGCGCAGGTGTGAAGGTCATCTGTGAGTGTGAATTGAACCTGTGTCTGTGTTTGTTGTTGTTGTTGGTTTTGTTTTGTTTTTTTCTTCAGTACCGGAGATTAAATTCAGGACTTTTCGATTGCCAGTCAGGCAAGATGTCACTGAGCTACATTCCCGTCCTGTCTTTGTGTGGTTTTGAGCCCTTCCCCACCACAGGAGGACAGGCACGTCCTTGGGGTTACAGGTTTGGGTTGCACTTGGCTGGCATCAGGCCTAGCCAACCTCTAGGTCACAGGGAGTGGTGCTATTGGGGACCCCACAGATGGAGAGCCTGGGGATGAAGCCCAGAAGTGCTGCATGCTTGGGAGGCTTCAAGCTGAAAGTTTAAAGCTGGATGATTGGAAGAAACTGGTGCCCAGGGCTGTCTGGGGTTCTGCTGCCCAGTGATGCCTTTGGTGTGGAACCTGGTGGGTTCCTCAGGAGCTGCTGCACAGAGGGTGGTGGTGCTGGAGTCTGGCTCTCCGCTCCACGAGCCCCTCTGCAGTGTGTTGTTTATCTAGCGTCCTCAGCACCGGCTTCCTCCCTGACGGGAGAGGGGAGTGGCAGAGGCAGGCTCAGGGGCTCAAAGGCCTGGTTAGATGTTGTCCTCCCTGGTTGAGCCTGTTCTGGGCATCCCTGGGACTTCTGGAGACCATAGTGCTGAAACCAGCAGCAGGATTACGTGGACATGGGGTGTATTTCTGGGGTATACATCTCAGTAGGTCCCTCCATTGTTGGGGTGGTGGCATTCTGACACCTTCAGGCAGTGTATAGTGGGAATAAGAGGCTTACTGAATGCTTCCTTTCCAGAAGCACCCACTGAGAATGTAGGAGAGAAATGATTCATCCATACAGTACTGGGGATTGAACCTGGGAAGCTATACCACTGAGTTGTATTGACAGCCCTTTCTAAATAAACAAACAAATTAATAAATAAATTTATTTATTTTGGGGTATTGGGGATTGAACTCAGTACCTTGTGCTTGGGAGGCAGGCGCGGTGCCACTGAGCTAAGTCCGTGGCCCTCTAAAAGTTTATTTTGAGACAGGGTCTCACTAAGTTGCCTGGGGTAGTGTTAATGCGTTCCTGCTGGCTTGAACCACTGGTAGTATTACATGGCTGACTGACCCATCGGGGTGGCATGGGACAGTCATGCACGTACCACTGGTGGTTCAGGGCTGCCTGGCAACAAGACCATACGAATTATAGCCCCATCGTGAATGTGCCTCCCTAGTTGGGGAGATTGTAGGGGTGTGCCACTGTGCCCAGCAATGTCCTACCCCCTATTTCCTTCCCCAGTCACTTTTCAGACACAGGTTTTGAGGACCTTGTGGCATCGCATCAGGGCTTTGGTCCTCGCTGATTAGAGGGTGCTCTGTTCTCCTTGGGGCAGAGACGTGGTCTGGTGGGGTTGGGGCACAGAAGCCCACTGACCCACTCAGGTTATAAGCTCTAGGTGAGCCGATGAGCTCATGTCTTACCATAGAGACTTCCAGGCAGAATGGCCCTTGTGCTGTCTCCTCCCCCTCCTTGGCCCTTCCTGATGTAGGGGCCAGGGAAGGAAGAGCTGCACTTGGAAGCAGGTATGCTGGAGCAGGGGCAGCTGCTGTTCCAGAGAGGGTGGGTGGGGTACAGAGGCTTCATGGTGGGGCTGCAGTCTCTGAGGTGGCTGTCCATCCTGGGCCCCTCCGAGGGTACACTGGTCTCCTGGGTTCTGAGTATTGGCCTGCAGGTGTTCCCGACACCCCTGCACATGAGGGTGGCACATGCAGTGGTGACAGTAACATTCAACACAGAATGTGTCTGTTCTCGGTGTGTTTTGGGGACAGTTTCTAGACAAGCCATGAACACGGAGCTCTTAGCATGTAGCACACAGCTCTGAAAGTGGGAGTTGCTGTAACCTGACCTAAGTAGAGTTGGTAGGTGAGGCCTCAGGACCCTGGTGGGCAAGCTGACCTTCCAGAGCCAGATTGCTCTTCACAGTCGACAAGTGACATTCTTTTTTTTTTTTTTGACAAGTGACATTCTTAAATGCAAAAATCTCGGGCATTTTAACTTGTATACTAGGCCCCTGATGACCAGTGACTGGGTCTGTGGGGATGAACACTTGGAGTGGGGCTGCTGTGGTCGCACCTGTTGCCTCACTGCAGCTACAGGTGCAGACAGGTGTGCAGGTGATTGGAGAGCACGCCCTGAACCACATGGTGGAGGCCCCATCCCTGTCAGTGCTCGTGCTCGGAGGAGGAAGGGAAGGCTTGGTGCTGGGCTTGCCAGGGACTGAGCTGGCAGCTGTGGAGGTAAGTAAAGTGAGGGGAGGCCAGGATACAGCAGGGAGTGTGGGGGGCCATATACCTGAAGCCATGCTTTTGTCTCACGTCACTTCAGTTGAAAAGTGTGCTTTCTGAATGTTGGATCAGACTTGGGGGCAGTTCTGTCCAGCAGCTTGGCAGGCCTGACCTCAGAAGGTCCAGAGTTAGCACCTGACTTCTTGCTCTTACAGACCCATGGGCCCGAATTGCATGCTCACTCTCCTGCATCTCCTGGTGACTGCTGGCCATGTGGTGCCACTAGGCAGGTGGAGTTGCATCCCAGAGCCCCATGAGCCCTAGGATGTGGCCAAGTGAGCAGATGTGGTTCCATTCCCTGACCTTCCAGTGCAACACCTGCATGTGGCAGTGACTTCTCCATGTATCTCATGTCCTCAGGGCTCCGAACAGTTGGGAACAGATTTACAGGCTGAGGAACTTGTTTGTTGCTGCCTGTGCCCTTCACAGACTTTGTGGGGTGGTGCCATGCCCTGATCCCCCCCGCTCCCCGGGGCCTGCTTCAAGCCCACCCTGCCTGCCGCTGTCCTCCAGCAGGACCTCCAGTTGGCAGGGTGATAAAGGGGCTGTCCTGCAGTGGTGCCAACTCCCAGGGTACTGCGGTAGTTTTCCCCTTGGATCTGTAGCCATCGGGTCTCAGGTCTTGGGCACATCCACGTGCCTGCCTGTTTTCAGGGGAACCCCTAGAGTCCAGGTTTGTGCAGCAGGCTAGCCCATCTGCAGGCTGTTGGGAGCCATGAGATGGTGATGTCGGCCACTTGCACTGTCTTCCTAACTCGCCTTTGGGTGCAGGGTTCAGTGGATCCAAAGTATTGGAGGCAGGGCTTGCTGGGGAAAATGAGGCACGAAACTGCTGCCCAGTGGACACTTGACCCAGGAGGCAGTGGGCAGCTGAGCTGCGAGCCATGGACCTCGGCCCAGGTGGTTGGTTACCCCAGGTCTCTGCTGGAGGGTGAGGTCAGCTGAGCTCTCCAGGGCTGGTGCCTTGAGGGGAGCCGATTGGGGGCTTGGTTCCAGGTCCTCACAAGTGGGGTGCAGACAAGTACTGCTATAAAACTCCTTCACCTGCATGCATTTCTTCCTGCGTTTCAGTGAGTAACACTCACTCTTGGTTGGGATAGCAGGGATGAAGAGAAGGCCAGAGTACAGGATGGTTGTCTGCCTCAGTTTACCTTGCAAGGGAAAGTGGCTCTTTCACTTCTCTTGCTTTGGGCTCTAGCTGACGTGTCTGGAAGGTGCTGAATGACTGCTGCTCATTAGGAGGAGATAGAGGAAAAGAGGGTATGGAGGGATGGGCATCCCACCACCTTTGGCTCACACCTGGGGATAAGTTCTGTATCTGACTGCCTTCAAACCATCCTGGCAGTTCAGGTGAAACCCTTTTGTAATCATCACCTTTGTATTTCATTCCTAGTACCTATCCAGTGTGCAAAACTTGTATTTGTTTTTCCAAAGACTGGAAAGAGCAGCCGTGGCATGTGCCATGTGTTGGGTGCAGGCCTGGCCCAGCTGGGAGTCCTCCCGTGACAGAGCGCCAGGCTCACAGGACTACCTCCCACAGCACACCTGTTCCCTCCTGGGTCCCCGTGATAGGGTCTGCTGCCTTCTGGGGCGCACCACGCAGCAGGTTGGCTCGGAGAACCCTTGTGAGGGCGGGTAGCTGGCCGGCTTCTGTAGTGTGAGCCTGCTCTTGCCCTCGGAAGTTATGGATATGCCCTGCAGGGTGGGCAGGGTGACACTCATTAAATTTAGCAGGCTGAATGGGCTTGGTTTTCTCCTGGCTGTTTTTTTTCCCTGCTAAAGATGAAGCCCAGGCCCCAGCAGTGCCTCGGGAGGAGCAGATCAGGACTCCTCCTCCGGATGCTTTCTCCAGAGCTACCCTCCTGGACGGTGCTCACGGCTCTCTCCATGATGTCCTTTCAGGTGTGGCTGATGAGGACGCCCTTGCTGAGGAGCGCATGCGGAGAGGCCAGCATGCCTTGCCAGCCCAGCCTTCCAGCTCCCGCCCGCTGAAGCCACCCCGGCCCGCCCCGGTGGCTAGGTCCGTGCCCCACTACGTGCTGGAGGACGACGAGGAGCAGGACAGGCCTCGGGTCCCTGGCGGCTGGGATGCCCCCATGAGTTCAGCAGGTGTGCAGAGGGGACCTGGTGTGGAGCGTCCCCCATGCGATCCACCCCCATAGCCAGCACAGAGAGGACAGAAATCAAGCCTGTGCTGCTGCATCCTTACCTGAGCGGCGGGGGGGCAGGGACAGGCACCAGGCCCTGGGGTGGAAATGTAGGTGGAGTGGTGCCTGAGCCTGTGCTCCCCTCGGAGCTCCTCCACGCAAAGCTTGCCACGATTAAAGTGGGATCCCTGTGTTCGGTGACATGCACAAGTGTGTTGTCTGAGTGCACCTCAGCACTCCTCCTCCCGTAATCTGGGGGATGAGAGCTGTCACTTGGGCTCTTGTGCTACAGCCATGTCTGCCTCTGCATCTACTTCATTTGGAGGCAGAGCAGGGCCCAGCCAGCCAGGTGCCCAGCAGAGCTTACCCTGCTGTACACAGTGACAGCAGAAGTGGAGGCTCTGCTCTCCCCTCTTGCCCTGGTCTCTGAGTAAGTTCCTCAGAAAATTGGTGTCTGTGAAGTGCCAAGGTCGCTGTGGCCCGTGGGGTGTGTGCAGCCATGGGGCTGTGGAGCAGGCTGCTGGTGCTGTGTCAGGGCGGCCCAGATGTGGCACTCTGAGCTGGCCTACCTTTGCTGTCCCAGAGCTGTCTAAGGACTGGTTCCTTAAGTCCCTTTTGGGTCTCAGTGGGAGCTGAGCATTCCCGGGGTTGAGAGCAGGAACGGGGTGACAGAAAGAGCCTACCCTCAGGCAGGTGTCGCCAGAGCTAGGGGCGCCCAGCTGTTCTGCAGTGGCATCCAGAAAGTCTGTCCTGCACAGTACGCTCGCAGAGCTTCCCCAGGATGGGGTCCACTCCTGGTCCTGAGTGCTCTGAGGGTTTAGGAAAGGTCATGTGACGAAGTGCAGAAGAGAGTGGTGTGTAGTACTTCCCTTTGAACAAAGGATGGTGTGAACTATTGGAAAGGCACTGTGTCATTTCCCGTGTCCCCAGAGTAAGGAGTCCAGGTGTGCCCGGCCTGGAGCATCCATGCCCTCTGTGGTTGATTGCTGTGGGTCCTCCTGGCCACTGCAGAGGCATCTGCGGAGAGGAGGAGTTTTTAGCAAGGACTGTAAAGCCGTTCTTGATCGCATTGCTATGCCATTTTGTGATCGTGGCAAGGTCATGAACTGGGGAACTGGTGGATTCCCTCTTCTGGAGCAGGCATGGCAGGCTGTGTTCTTGTGCACCCTACCCTGGTGCTTTCCTTGCTGCTAGCTGGCCTGGTGCTGTGAGGACTTAGAAGAGTACCCTGGTGTAGGGAGCCCTGCTTGAACCTTCCTGCCAAGAGGGGAGAAAGCCTCTTTAGGGAGCATCTGGGAAACCGCTGCACAGTACAGCACTGGGACTAAAACTGCAAACTGAGCTGTCTCTTCAGCCTGTCTTTTTCTTGGCTGTGCTATGACCTTGGACTACTGACCTCCTCTAAAACCTGTTGTGCACTTTGGAGAGGGCTGAGGCACTTAGGTGGAACCAACAGTTCACGAAACGGAAACTTGGAAGAAGGCTCTGCGTTGTTTTGCATTTGTGACCTCTCTAGAACATGTGACCTTCAGAAAGGGAAATTTAAAGTATTCAGTATGAAAAAGATGATGAATGAAAGAATGAACGGGCCGTTTAACTTCAGTGTTTTAGGAGAGAGCTGCTTGCCTTGAGTGCCAGGACTGTGTCCTGGGCTGCAGCTGGAGGTTGTGCTGAGCCCACTCGTAGCTCCTGCTGCCCGGCACCTGCCTCCTAAGGAGACTAACTGTGCACTCAGACGTGTGTCCCTGCTGCGTGTTCTGAGTGGCCACTGGCATGGGAACCTTCATACCTCTGGAGGAGGCCCAGATTCAGCCCCAAGCCCCTCCCAAGCCACCCTGGTGTGGGCTGGGTGTAAGGCACCTGTTGTAGAGCTGAAAGTGGAACTCTGTCCAGAGGGTGAGCATCTCCTTGGTTTTGGCTGGGTGAGTTGATCATGCGGTTGTTGTCTTTAAGCACACAGCCCAGGGAGAGCGAGAGGCACTCTCTCATGGATGGCTACTGAGCCACGAGAATGACCCACCACAGCAGGGCATCCTGGCAGAGGGGTTTGCAGAGCTGCAGGGAGCTCAGAGGCAGGGTGGGGACTTGAGCAGGTTGGTGACAGAACAAACAGGTCAAGCTCTGAGGCTGAGGACAGGGGAAGGCCTTGTCCTGACAGCGCCGGCCTCCTGGCCCGGCTGCGGGGTGCACACCTCCCACCCTGTGTGCTTGTGATGTTCTCTGAGCAATGACAAAGGTTTGGCGTGCCGTTTCTACTGAGGCAGGATGTGCACCGAGGAAAGCAGTGTTTGTTGCTTTTGTTTTAATGTGGGGAGGTACTGGCGACCGCCTGCCTCTTGTGGCAGTGTTTCACAAGCCGTGTTTCCTTAGGGTTCAAAGAAGGTGGCAAGAGGAAGAAGCAGAAGCAGAGAGAGGAGTCGAAGAAGAAGAAGTCGACCAAAGGGAACCACTAGGCTGGACTTGCCCAGCAGACGCACAGTCCTGCTCGTGTGTGGCTGTGCACATGCTAGGTAGTGGCTGCCTTTCAGTGCTGTCCAGGGCCACCTCGCTTACCAGGATTATGGATGTGTGCTTATGGATTGTAGGATCAGGGCCTCGAGACAGGTGATACCATGGGTGGCGTGGTAGACATTTGGGATACAGCTTGACTCCTGACTCCGCTTTTCCCCAGCACTAAATCCACCAGCAATTTCCTCTAGTGAGCAATCCGTCTCTTTCTAGCTTCTCCACCCCTACACCCCTACTGAAGTCTTTGTAGCTGTGAAGCACAGTAAGGTATGGACAGGGAATGGGCACATGTTCTGGAGAGGACTTTCCTTCCCTGTGGCAGCTTGGTGTTTGAAATTAGAAGGAATTCATTGCAGCATAACTTAAGATATTGTGACTGCACTCGGCACAGTGGCTGTTGGTCTGTTGTTCAGAGCAGCCTGGCCACACACAGGCCATCACAAGTCACTTCAGCTGTAAAAATCATTCCTTATATTTATTGCCCTAGCTCAGTTCTCTCCAGGGAGTCCCAAATTGACTCCAAATATTGTTTAGTGTTTACTAAATCTCATAGTTTGTATCCATTTTTTTTTAAAGTAAGAAAGGTTCTTCTCAGCAAAACGACTTCTTGCTTTTATAGGTCAGAGTCATTTCATCACGCTGGGGAAAAACAGGCTGATTAACACACACAGTCGTGGACACACATAACAACATGATCGGCTATTGCGCTACAAGCTTGAACTGAACATTTCAGTTTGCAAACAAACATTGACCCCCTGAAAGTTCCTTTTATTCTATCAAATTTCTGCCCGGCTTCCCATGACCGGTTCACTTGCATGAGGTATTGCTTCTTAGCCTTTGTTTTTATTGAGCACCAGGTAGACCTCTGGTGTACCTGACTTCCTGCCTGCATATTCCTCCTGGGGGCAGTGTTCACACTTTTTTCCTCTGTCCTCTTGGAAGCAGGGCACAGTACAAAGCGTTGATGTGGTTAAAAAATGCTGCAGTCTAACCCAGCAGCACTGAAAGCAGAAAAACTTGGTGCAGTCCATGCGGCAGTGTAACAGCTTGGAAGCTAGAGACAAGCGTCACCTGTGGTTTCAAATGATGGTCACTCGCATTTGCTGTGTTTCTTTGGGTCTGATGGGAGGTGGTATGGGTGGCTGGGTGGAGAATGGCTTGGATTGAATGCTCATTGTGGAAATTGTCACCCCTAGGTGTAGTGTGTTTCAATGCTACCTACGTGAATAAAAGGTGTGATCGAGTCCAGCTACCTTGCGTTCGTTTACGGTATCGGTGAACTACACTGTTACCCTAAAATAAAGGCCTTCTCCCATGTTTTCCCTCGTGCAAGATAAATTGATGCTTGGGACGGAAGATGTGTTGCTGTCTGATGTAGCAGTCCCTTTACAGATGTCATCCTGGGAGCATTGTGTGTGACACTCCAGTCAGCCAGGGGAGGCTCCTCCTCCTCGGCCCCAGCCCAGCCAGCAGCTGCAACACCACCAGGAGTGAGCTCTTGGCAATGGAGAGGGACATTGTGGCCCAGACAGGGTGCTGGCAAGGGCTAGGCTCCTGCACGGTGCGGTTTTGTTAGGGCCAGCTGCTCAGGTCCCTGGTGCAGTCACCAGGGCTGGGTGGCACCCTGCAGCCTCGTGTCACCTGAGGCTGGTCAGAGCTGGTCATTGGTTGCCAGGGTGTCACAGTCCTGCTGCACCTGCTCATGACGAGCCCTTAACAGAGAGGCTGGGACCTGTGTCCTCAGGTGATGCCAGGGTCAGCCACAGGCCGAAACAGCTCCTCACCCTGTGGCAGGGAAGGGCAGTGTCCACAGAGCCCCTGCAGCATGGCTGGTCAGCAGCAGGGGACTCGCTCCTGTAGAGGGTGATGGCACAAGACACCTGGCTCCAGGACCTTGGGCAGCATCAGCACCGGCCCTTCCTCAGGACCCTGCTGTGTGCCACCAGCAGGACTATGTCATTGTTCCCGTGGTTGGCTGTGGGAACCTGCTGGAAGCTGGGGCAGCAGTGATTGGGTGCCTTGTCCTGAGCTGTGTTTGTCACCTTCAGGTGCTGGGTGGCAGGGTGGGGACTGCAAGGTGCCCATACATCCCACTGGGCATGGCCCTGTTCCTCTCCCCTTAGTTAAGGCTACCCGCCCCACTTCAGGTCTGGAGGAGATATGAACATCTGCAAAGGCTTCCACTCAGCCGGAAGTGACTCCCTGCCCCCCTGCTCTCAACGGCCCCACTGTAGAACTGACCTGATGCCGGAACGATAGGTAATGGGTATGGCCCAGGGGCCCACTTGGCCTTGCCCAGGGCCATACTTGGTCAGCAAGGGGAGCCATGGGATTCGGAGCCACACCTGGGTTAGGTGGGTCTTTTTCGTTGTTGCAGTCATTGCCAAAAAAGGTTTTACTCTGCCATCATTGTGTGGAAGGAGACCTAACATCCATGTGTGTGTGTGTTCCAAGTTTGACCTTTACTCTTGAGGGTCCTTGCCACTCAGGCCTGGGGCTCTGTCTTCCCTGGTCCCCACAGGCCTCTGTCCTGGCTCAGGCCATTCTGGGGACAGATGCTACCAGTTGGACACCCTGCATGAGTGGCCTCCCCTGAGTCACTCCTGCTGTCTTTGCACTATGGTCTGAGTCAGCCATGACTTCTGGGAGCCTTGGGGTGCAGCATGGGAACGGGGCCTGGAGTGGATGGGTGGCCCAGGTGACTGCTGTTGGCTGTGCCCATAGAGCAGGAGGCTGTGGCTTCTGGGGAACAGGGTTGCAGGCTGAGGGTGGTGTCCCCAGGCAGGGGCAGCGGTGGCCTCGCTCAGATGCCCAAGGACATCTAGTGAGGAGCGTATGTCCCCTGTGCCAGGGCAGTGAGCTGGGCTGTGCCAGCCAGGACCCAGGGAGGGCTGAGGCCGCCATCCCCACCAGCTACCCTTATGGAAGGAGCAGCCAGCCTCCTCTCCTGCTGGCCCTCACAGGTGGAAGGAGGTGGCAGGCTAGGGGACATCGTGCAGGGTAGGCATGCCCTGAGGTCACGGAGAGGCTGGAGCCCCAGTGAGGGTGGAAAGGGTCTGGTGTGTGTGGCCGGTCCCTGGGAGAGGGTCAGGAACAATGGCGAGAAGATGGCAGTGCAGTGTGGGGATAGATGGGTACAGCACACAGCCCTCTTGTGGCTCTGGGGCTGGTCCTGTTGGAAGGTGCCAAAGTGGGGTTGCTGGAGAATTTGGTGTTTCCCCATTTTTACATTTTCCATACTCTGAGCCAAAGCCAGGCAGGGGAGGACCTGCCATGTCAGCTGGGAGCTTGCATGGGTGGCACAGGATGCAGAGCATCTTTGCTGAGTGCCTGCTTCAGGATCCACATCCTGGGTCCACACTCACATCAAAGACCCACTTCTTTCTGAGGTGCCAACAGTGATGAGCACTGTCTCCCCGCACTGCACTCTGTCCTCTTTCTGAAGCTGACGGCGGTGGTGCGTGTGGTGTGGTGAACTCAGAATGAGAATGCACTCATTCTGTGCTCTGGGCTTGGCTCCATGCCCTTGTGAGCCTTTCATAAGACTTCCAGAAGACTGTGCTTCTCTTTGACCTATGGTACCCAACACTGGCCCATGGGTGCACTTGAATATAGTACCTGGTAGTTCATTAATTCTTCTGTCTACCTGTCTGTCCGTCCATCCCTCCATCCACCCATTCTCCATCTGTCCATGCACCTACTCACCCATTCATTGCCCCATCATCCACCCACCTACCCATTCATCCGTCCCTCCCTCCACCTACCCATCATCCATTGCTTATCATCCACCCATCCGTCCATCCCCCTACCACACATCTGTTGTCCACCTGTTCTCCATCACTGCCACACATTCACTCATCCATCCATCCATCTACCTATCCATCTGTCATCTACCTGTCACCCTTCCATCACTCCTCCTTCCCGTCCTCCATTTGCTTGTTCATCCATCTGTCTGACCAGTGAATACTGATTTGGTGTCCAGCACCTACTGTGTATCACTGGAGACACAGAGAGGTATGTGTTGCCATCTTGCCTTGCAGAGGGAACGAGGTGGTGTCTGTGGGGCAGTATCAATCACCCCAGCCCATCCCTATCAGGCCCATGTGGACCATGGCCTGAGATGTTAGAGGTTTGCAGAGCAGGGACACCTGCAGATGGGAGGCTCAGGATCACTGACACCTGATGGATTGTCTGTTACTTGATGAATCAGTGGGATCACCTGTCACCCGAACAGATCACATGTCACCCAACATCACACCTGACTCAGGAGGCCAGGCCCTCCCTGGAGGACCGTCAAGGCTTGGACACAGCTGTGTCCAGGCTCCAGAGCCCTGCCCAGCAAGAAAGGGCCCTGTGGCATTTGCCTGTGCCGTCTCCAGCTGGCCCAAGGCCACAATGGCAGGAGTGGGAGGAGGGAGAGACCAGATCTTACACCAGGAGCATGGGGGATGCAGCAGGGGACACTGCCCTGTGGAGGCTCTCTGAGGGCCATCTGCAGTGGGGACAGGCAGGTCCTCGTCCAGTGCCCCAAGGAGGCGACCATCACCTGAAGAGAGCGTGGGCAGTGCTCGCAGCCCACTTGCAGCCCCTGTCTGAGACAGCCTGTGCTCTGCACTGCTCTAGCAGTGTCCTGACCCTGGCGCGGCCTTACAGGGAGGCAGGGTCTTTGCGTCAGGGTTAAGTCTGGATTTAGGGCTCCAAGTCAAAGGCTGGGTGTCCTGGAGGCAGAGACAGGAGTGATGCTGCCGGGAACCTGGATGCTGGGAGCCCTGAGGAGCTGCCTGTAAGAGGCAGGAGGACTCCTCAGCCCAGCTGTCCCGGGCTCGAACCTTTGTCCCTGACCTGGACACCAAGACCCCAGCCAGCTGCACTCATCACTGGAAATGTGGGTTGGTGTGTGGTTTCTGTGTCCCAGTACCTGAATCCCAGCTGTTATTATTTATTTTTCTTTTTTAAGATGTGTTCTTGCTAAGTTGCTCAGGCTGGCTAGAGCAATCTTCCTGCTTCAGCCTTCCAAGTACCTGGGACTTCAGGTACATGCCACCACACTTGGCCCCCAAATAAATTGTGAAAAGTTGCCATCTATTTTCGTACCTTAGGAAATTTTATCCACTGAAAACTCAATTTAGATAAAGCAACATAAACACACACGATGGTGTTTCATGGTGCAATGTCTACAGTGGCCACAGGAGGGCGCCTCCACCCAAGGAAATGGAGCTGAGCAGGCCACCACCTCCCAATACCGGAGCTCTGAGCAGCGGCTCGTATGGGTGAGTGCTTGAACTCATTCCTGAACGTCCTGAACGTTCACAGGACATATGGAAAAAGCACACAAGCACATGCACACATTTACACAAATACATGCAAGAGATGCACACATGTACGCAAACATACACGAACATGTCCGTTCACAAATTTACACACCACGTGAATCCACAAGCCCACAAGGCATGCCCACAAATGCAGGGAACACACCCGCACACACATACACGAACACGCGTACTCACATGCACAAACCATGTGAACATACATGCTCATACTCATACATAAACACACATGCTCCCATGTATTTATGCATGCACAGACAGCATGCATGCATGTGCACCCAAACACGGCACTCACTGCCCCTGGCTATCTATGCGTGGCTGCGCGCACACACACACACACACACACACACACACACACGGTAGAGTAAATTAGCCTCATTGTGTTCACATTAACCAAAGCTAAATGGAGCTGAAGGGGAAGGGATCCGAGTACTTATGTTGTCCCCTTGGCCAAATACAATCATTAGTTTAATGCTGCTGGGGATCTTCTGTTCAACACCAGGCTCAGACCTCACAAATGACCCTCAAAGGAATCTCAGGAACACAGTTGCTGTGATAAAACCAACATCACTTTCTTCTCCTGCACTCAGATGCCCAAAACATTTCTGACAAATGGTGATTTGTTTTCCTGAGCTAATAGAGGAGCATAAAACCCACTGTCATGATTTCTAGCACCTTCTGGCTGGAATATCCCAGAACCTGCTGAACCAACCACTCAGCTGCATGTGGCGCTGGGAAGGGAGCCCCATGCCCCCAGCCCTCACTGCTGAGAGTGGAGGGCAGGCTCCTGTCTTGGCACCAGAGCTGCCTCCGTGTCCTCTTCTGCAGCGCTTGGTTCAATCACCAGCTGTTTCTCATGGAGTAAACAATGCCCACATGAAACAGGGTCTTTATCTTTCCCTACATAACCTCGGGTCTTTCCTTC